CTTCAAATATATAGAAGAAAGGTGGGACCCGGGTACTCTTTGTCCAATTGATAATGACCACCCATCACTACAAGTCTACTTCAATCCTTGACCAAGTCACCTCCTCATTGATAGGTTGCAAAAGGTGAAAAGTACTACCATTAAATATGATAGGAAATTCATTCCATCATAGTAAAAGAAGAAACTCTTCCAAGTCTTTTCATCTCATAACCGGGTCCAATCTTCCATGCAACCAAATATTTAGATTTGAACTTAGCATTAACTCCCATAATATCCAAGAATATGAATATCATAATTTTGTTCAAATCCAACTAGATGCAAAATTTACCAACAATAATGAGTTTTTTAGAAAATAATTAAATTCTTAACCTTTCATCACCTCTTAACATATTTTGGACCAAAAATAGTAGATAGGAGCAAAATGGGTACCAAAGATACAATAAAATAGGGGTAAAGAACAACAAATAACTCTCACAAAATGAGAGTTATCAGTACCCTATTCAAGTATTTTACCTGAATGTAACTAGTCATAAGGCGTGAAGAGTCGTTGCATGTTTTCGTGTGAAGGATGGTGTAAGTTGGACTTAGACATTGTGATTATTATGTAAATTCCAAATCATCATTTCACACTCCCACTCGGAAATAGGCATTGTGATTATTATGTAATTTCCGAGGTAAAGAGCTTAAGATCACAACTGACTTCATGACTGGTTAGGTTGTTGTCAATGATATTAAACCTACATGTGATGCTCTGTAACAGAATTATGACTTACTTTGTGTTCCGTCAAAATTAGCGGTAAAACGGGTCTCCCCCGCCATCCTCGGATGTCAAACTCTACCTTGAGTTGTTTAGAACTACACTCTCCTTTTTGTGCCGTTTGAAGTTTTGCCTTGAATTTTATGTATATCCGTTTATATATTAGTTTACTGCCCCTTTTTGTTTCATTATTTGGACTCACTAGCCGCAATCAACCCTCCCTATTGAATTGATTGTTTGTCAGGTTCCTTTAGCGATGGGGCTCAAAAGGGTTAAGGGGAGCGTTGTCCCATGCGAAAAGGCGTTGTGTAGATAAAGTTTTAGCCATTTTTGGGAGCGTTGCACTTTTGTTGATGCAGTTTTGTTGGAGGCGGTAGAAACACACGTTCTTAATTTAGGCTTAGAGTCTTTAGATTAATAGGTTGTTTATTATCGTCTCGCTTGATATTTGTAAACGCTTTATTTTCTCCCATTCATGGGTGAACCCCAGTTAAACTTTAGCTTCCGTTATATGTTATTTCATTAGTTTATTGCGGGTGTAACATCAAGAGTCTAACTACATGGATGGAATGCTCAAAGCCAATTTAAGATAATATGGTATTTTAACAGTTTTTTCATGTCTTGTCATGTCCTAGTCGTACCAAACATATGACACACAATCAGTCATGTCCCTTCACGTCCTGTTCCATTCAGTCTGTATATCAAACACTACCTAAGAATTACATCACAGTTAACAAGAATAAAATAGTGTTTGTTTTGCCAAAAAAATAATTATATTCATGAAATGTCAAATTCAATGGTTTAAAAATGAACACATCTCGCTTTAGATCAATTTTATATTATATTACAATCATTTCTAACGGTTTTTTAATTGTAACGTAAAAATTATAATTAAAAAAATTGTGTTGGTTATAAGTAAATTGGTTTTCTGGTAATTGTAGGGTATAGAATTACATCATTATGCGTTTAAAACTTCTTGTAGTTGTTGTTCGTATAATTTTCTTTGACGGGATTTTATCCTAATTGGGCTACATTCATCAAGTCTATTCCATTACCTTAATCACCAAAACATCGACCATTTGCGAAGAAGCAAGAGGCTGCCAGGAAAGATGTAGAGAGAGCGCCTGTGGTACTCAAATCATGTTTCACTTAGGGGTGAGCATAGGCGGGTACCCGCCCTTTTTGACAGGAACCGGAACCAGCGGTTCTTGAGATATTGGAACCGGAACCGGAACCAGTTAGAGCGGTTCTTAAATTTTTGGAACCGGAACCGCCGGGAACCGGTTCCGGTTCCGGGTACCCGCTTCC